ATGCCAGTAGCATTCCTCCCTTAGTGGTGAAAACCAGTAATGTCTCTAGACATTTTCATACATGTGCATTTTAAAGCAAAATTACCCCCAATTGAAAATCACTGATCAGACTAAAATAAATACATCGATTAGTTGCAACATATAGACTTTACTATGACTACTCAAACTGTTTTAAAAGTGAGAAATACTATGAAGTCAAATACCAGTTAAATATTTAATGATATTAAGAAACTATGAATATTTTAGATGTGATACTAGTATCCTAAGAACTTTTTAAGTGCTTTTATCTTCTAGAAATAAACAGTAATATTTGCAGATGAGAAGTAATCATGTCTTTGGATTTGATTCAAAATATTTGGAGGAAAGTATAGTGGAGCTACCAACAGTATAGATAAGACAAGATTGACCATTAGTTAATAATTGTTGAATCAAGGTATGGAATTCATTATACTATTCTCTCCTTCTGTATATGTTTGGCATTTAGAAAACCATCTCCTCACAAGAATGAGTGCGTAAAAAGTTGATGCCTTGTTCCTCAGTCAAATAGCTGAGAAAGAAGAATTTGGCCTTGCCCAAGTCTAAAACAGTCCCCTTTATCCACTAATAGAAAGATTTTCATTTTGGCAGAAAGCTGTGATTATTTCACTTAATTTTTTCTTAGCTCAAATACCTGAAATTCTATGATTTCATCTGAAAGGCAGATATATAAATAACTGAAATACAACTGGCTAATTGTCATAGTAGAAATGTAATTTCTAATGATAGTGGATGAAAAACAGAAATTAGGTCATTAATAACTGTAACATAGGGAATAAGTTTCGCTCCTATGTGTTATGTCCACAGGAGCAAAGATTGTCCAAAACTTCTTAGGGTTTTTTTCCTAAAAAAAATTTATATATAAATACAGCAGATTTCTTCTTAATAGATAAATCTTTAATATTATTTCTCTACTGTGGTGCTCTAATTCCTATATATTTTATGGATATATATGATCTCATTGCTTTATACTTCAAGGCAGAGAAACATGCTTTTCATCAGGTCTAATTTAGTACTGTAACATTGGAGGTTTGCGATCATAGTAATTCAATTTAGTTAAAAATTTATCAGGCTTAGCTCAAAGTTGGCAACATAGTAGATCCTCAATAATGTTTGCTTCTATTATAGTACTTCATTTTAAGGTAGTTAGCATTTTAAGCCCTAAATAATTTAAGAAAAATAGAATTTGTACCTTTGGAGGGAAATATCAATTGATGACAAGCACAGAGTAGGTAGCATTGAGGGCAGAAGACCCTTAAACTCAGAAATTATTTCAATTATTTTTTCTCAAAATACAACAAACGCAACACACTGCCATTGAGTTGGATCCAACTCATAGTCACCCCTCCTTGTGTTTCTGAGGCAGTATCACTATGGAAGTAGATTGCCCAACCTTCCTTCCAAGAAGTAGCTGGTGGGTTTGAACCACCAGCCTTCTCATTAGTAGTCAATTGCCTTAGGCACTATGCAACCAGAGCTGCTAATAGATCATTTGAAATAGGAACTACCCCCAATAATCCAATATCTTTGTTCTTTATGCGTAAGACTAAACTTGATACTGTGTGAATTAAATCGAGCAAAGCAAGTAAAATTGACTAGATTTCAAATGTTCATTATATCAGGTTTAAATTTTATATTAAGAAACAGATATTTTCTTGATCTGGGGAAAAAAAAATCTCCCTAGTCGAGTGGAAAATGAGATGTGAGCAATACTTTGGCTGTATGCTTACCTAGAGCATTGGAGCTTTTTAGCCTGGAGGAACACAAAGAATAGGGCAAAGCCACCTCTGACACTGGAGCCAGCCCCACCTGACTTAGTCCCAAGTTGGCTAGCTTGACCCGTGCTGTGGTCATCTGGCCTGGAACATGCACAATCCATGTCCACATAGGCAACTGCTCTAGGCTTTTGTTCCAGACTGAAAACATGCCAATCTGGGAATACAACATTTTTTTTTTTCTATAAATATATGATTGATACATTACCCAGCAATGGGAAATATTAGATCTATTTCCAGAAAATAGAAAAATTTGGATCTATTTTCAGAAGTAGAACAATCTTTAAAATAGGTGTTTTCCTCCTTCCACTCCCCAAATATTCAAAAAATGAAGTAATTTTCAGAAGGAGTCATTCAATCCTACTAAAGTAATCATAGTAATAATTCATACACACACACACATACTAAAAAAAAAAAAAAAAAAGCTAACTGCCCTTGAGTCAATTTTGATTCATAGAGACACCTCCTTGGGTTTCTGAGGCAGTGTCTCTACTGATGTAGAGATAATATCCTCAACAGATGGACTGACACAGTGGCTGTGGCAATGGGCTCAAATATAGCAAGGATCACTGAGCTGGCACAGGACTTGACGGTGTTTCTTTCTGTTGTACATAGGGTCGCTAAAAGTAGGAGACCACTTAAGGGCACATAACAATAACATTTCTAGGGAAGTAGATTGCCCAGTCTTCCTTCCCAGGTGTGGCTGGTGGGTTTGAAACACCAGCCTTCTGGTTAGCAGTCAAATGCCTTAGGTACTACTCCATATATCGGCATAATGAGCTCCGTTGGTACAATGGGTAGGAGTTCACCTACTAACAGTAATATTGACAGTTTAAATCCATCAGCATCTCAGCCAGAGGAAACACATGAAGATATGCTTCTGTAAAAATTATGGACTTGAAACCCTATGGGACAGTTCTACTTTGTGATAGAGAAATACTATGAGTCAGAATCAACCCAATGGCACAAAACAGCAACAAAATATGTCACATATATTTTTACCTACACAATTTTCAACTTAAAGTTATTGATGATACCAAAATGCTTTAAAAAAAATATCAAGAATGAGTGAAAAACTATGAAGGTTTTCCCAAGTATTAGTTTTAATGCATAAAATGAAAATGTTATTGGAAGGTAAAAAAAAGATACCAAATAATCCAAGAGGAACTTTGACTCAAATACAAACCATTGCGAAAGGGAAACTGTTTGGAATATTTTCATGTATTCTCCTAAAAGGCAGAACCTATACACTTTTCTTTTTTTAGGGTCAGAATACAATTCATATTGGGAGAAAGGGAAAAAGGGACAAAGGAAGGTAGAGAGGGAGGGAGGGAGGAGTAGAGGGAGAGATATCATGATGATGATGATGATGATGATGAAATTGTTATTGTTAGCTGCTGTGGAGTTGAATGGGACTCATGATGACCATATGTACAACAGAACAAAATGTGGCCTGGTCTTGTGTTATTCTCATAATCACCAGTATGTTTGAGTTCACCCTTGAAGCTATTGTGGCAATCTATCTCATTAAGGGTCTCCCATACCCTCTTTGGCTCCCTTCACCAAATATAATTTCCTCCTGCACTAATTCATCTCTCCTGATGATATGACCAAAGTAAACAATCTGGACAGTGTTTTGTTGCAGTCTGTGAGGTGTTCATTGTCTAATTTTCAGAAGTAAATTACAAAGATTTCCTTCCCACTCTGTCTTAGTCTAGAAGTTCCACTGAAACCTGTCCACCATGGGTGATCCTGATGGAACTTGAGATACCAGTGGCATAACTTTCAGCATCATTGCAACACACAAGCCACTATAGCACAACAAATTGAACAGTGGTGGATATGAAAAAAACATGGTTTATTATTTAAGATTTGTTTTAGGATAAAAATAGTTTAAAATATGTTTTAATTATGCAATCATTTAAAAAGTATCCCATTATAGACAAATTGCACTACTTTATGAATACAAATAATTAAATTAGCATAATCAAATATTTAATAATCTTTTATAATATTTATAGTTTGGGATATTTCCCTCCACTTTGTTAGTTTCATGTTTAATTAGAAATATTTTTATTGAAAATATATTTCAGGAAATTAAGAGTGTAACAGGTATTTTCAAAACCTGTATGAAATGATTCCATTTCTTTAGGATATTTTGTTCAGCATACTGACAAGGAAAATTGTTATAATCCTTGTTGTCAAGAACTTTCTCTTAAATGAATTGTAACACTGCAATTAGTATATTATGCAAAACATATTTAATGAATTTCAGACTGTTATAGTGACTTTTCCAGATTTTCAAAACCCACTTGCATAAAAGATAATCGTACCTGTACATTCTATAGTTATTAAATGTTAAATATTATTAATATTAAATTTAATGATAAGATGATATTAATAAAAAATGTTCATAAAGGTTACAGGATTAATCCCTTA